TGTGTCAGCTGTTTAGACAAATTGCATATGGCAAACATTCAAAATATAATGTACTACAGAAAGCCCAAGTATATAACATTGTAATCATCTGTATGTTTGAAACCCATTTTGGCATTTGTAGACCTAGCATAGACCTGTTTCCACATATTTTGTTCACATTCTGGAGTTCATTTCATTTACACTGAAAAAAATTACTGAGCACCTACTGTGTTGCAAACACTGTTAGGTGCTAGAGCTACAAAGATAAATAAAACATAATCCTGGTCCTCAAAGAATTTTCAGCCAAGTAGTAGAGATAGATTGGTTAAAAGATAGTTTTACATAACATAATGTTTCCTCATCAATTTTTAAATATCACTAAACTAGCTTTTTCTCGTTAAAAGCTGTTAACATTTTCAATGTCTGCTATCAATAAAAATTAATCCCTTACAGTTGCAAGATCAGCTTGCAACATGAATAAACATGGCGGCCGGGCACAGTGGCTCACTCCTGTAATCCCAGCACTTCGGCAGGCCTAGGCGAGTGCATCACCCCAGGTCAGAAGTTCCAGACCAGCCTGACCTATATGATGAAACCCCGTCTCTATTAAAATCACAAAAATTAGCCGGGTGTGGTGCCAAGTAGCTGTAGTCCCGGCCACTCGGGAGGCTGAGGCAGGAGAATGGCTTCAACCCAGGAGGCGGAGGTGGCAGTGAGCGAGACTGCACCACTGCACTCCAGCCTGATGACAGAGCGAGACTCCGTCTCCAAAAAAAGAAAAAGAAAGAAAAAAAGAAAAGAAAAAAGAATAAACATTGCAATACAAAATGTTACAAAATTATTTTCTTGGTAGGAAAAATTATACTGAACCCACCCAAACCTGAAGTCAAAGATGATGTGGCAGAAGCTCAAATAGACGACTTCAGCAGACTCAACTCTGGAGAGTCATTTATTGTATCAGGAGTACCTCCTAATAGTAATCCTTCTCAGGTGTTCCCACCTGGTAAAATTACAGACCTCGAAGCTAAGTTTCAAGGAGATCATATTCAACTTTCATGGACTGCACCTGGCAAGGTCCTCGATAAAGGAAGAGGTAAGTTTGGCATTACGTTTTAAAATACACGAAAAGAAATCCCATTGCCTTTCATTTGCTAAGAATTTTCTAATGTCCCATTTATAAATAACATTTATGAAGTATCTACTATAGGCCATTATTTAACTATTTTCAGATGTGAAAACTGAAGCTGTAAGAGATTATTGGACCAAGTTATTTCTATGTTTCATAACTTACAATTCTAACCCATCTTGTCAGATTCTATTATGCCAAACTGTCAGAAATTGAAGCATCTTAGAAATTACTTTGATAAGACAGTTAACAACTTTCTGTTGCATTATCTTCTCCCCAAATTTTAAGTATTTCTATACTTGCAGTTTCATTCATGTATCAACTTTCTGTTGAGCTGTCACACTGCGAAGTTCCTAAGAAAGATCCATACTCTCAACAGTCAAATACAGAAGATACACAAGTAAACAGATAATTACATAAAGTATAATAAGACATATGCTTTTATAAACAGAAAATCATGTGGCAACCCATAGATGGGCCACAAACCCCTAGTTAGAGGTTGAAATCACAGAATATATCATAAAGCCTTCCCAGGGAAGACTATCCTTGAATATTGAAGAATGAACGTAGTTACCCAAGATAAGTGAAGGTGTCCCACAGAGAGAGATGTTCATGTGCACAGAAACTTACTTGTTTGAAAGATTGAATAAAGTTTGAATAAAGTTCAGGGTCAAAAGATATTTAATCAAAGGTCCTAATAATAAGCTACCCTAATTCCAAAAAGTTTAAATTACTTCTATCATTGCTTGAAATTTAAATGAATTCAGTCAGTACTTATTGAATGCCTACCACATTCCAGTATTACATAGATTAGTAGACTTTTATGGGATAAAGCCAGTCTTGCTATTTTCCTTTTAATATTGGGGAAAAAGAAACCAATATGCAATACATAACTCAGAGATTGCCAGTGTTAAAACACCAGTATTCAATACTGTTTCTCCTGGGTTACAATAAACTCCTCATTGTACACTCTCAGAAGAAAAGATGCTTCTTTCACTCAATATATAGTATTTTCAATGCTGCATTTCTCATTATCATTAATATACAAGAGAGAATCATTCAAAAGCCAGAGGAAACATAGAATAAGCACAAACAGAGCTTTTGTATTTCAATGTTGAAAATCTTATGATAGCTTCTGAAATACCTTATTTTCTCATGCTATGACCCTTAAACCTATGGCAAAATCCCCAATATTGCCACTGAAAAGCCACAAATGAAATTTCTAGACCAAATACGTAGTTCTATAGCAAATTCAGTAAAAACCAAGCTTTCAGTTCAAGATTGGGTTCATAATAAATATCCCTCATGCTGATTATAAGAACTGAAAGTAGGAGTAATATATAACCACAAATCCCTAAAACAGGTGGGATCTAAACTTTGTCTTTCCTTAGGAAAAATAGGAAGAGGTAGTGGTACCTGTTAAATGTTACCTGTAGACATTCCAAAAGTAAGGTAGGAACAGTAACTTAAAGAACAAATGAACATCTATATAATCCTAAATGAAGCACTTAAATCATTTGCGACACAATTTCCATGCCTATCAGATATACAAATTAGACTAGATGACCTAAAATTGCTAAAACAAGTAGATATAATTCTTATATTTATGATTTTCTAATTCCATCATTTTGGGTGTCAACAACTATGCTGTTGCCAAGTAATTAAGGTGATCAAATACATGCCAACACAGGACCAGGTATCCTGAATGATACAAAGAGTACAAAACATAGCATTGCCCTCAAAAATTATCAGATATAATCAGAATGACAAATTGAACCTCTACTAAACTATCTGAAAAACTCCATTCCATGAAACATGAAAGAAAATCATCAGGGTGAATGAAATGCTTGGATGAGACTTCATGCAGTTGGACTTGGTTGGAACTTAAAGAATGAGTACAGTCTGCAACCATAGGGAGAAGGAGGCACATTTTGGAGAGAGATAGGACAAAATTGTATGATCAAGGTCAAGAAAGCAAAATTTCACAATGGAATATTTGAATTAAAATACGGAATAGATAGAATAGATAGGTAGAGAGGAGAGAGAGAGAGAGAAAGAGAGAGAGAGAGAGAGAGAGAGAGAGAGAGAGAGAGAGACCTGCCTAAGTGGAACACAGGATTTTTGAGAAGAGGAATAGAATGGCTTGGTAAGGCCTATTTAAGAGGAAACTAAATGTTAAGCAGAGGATCTGAATTCTTTTTAAAAATATACTAAAAGTTATTCACCACACACTTGAAATACCTTCAACATTTCATGGAAAAGTTAAAAACAAAGTCTTTACTTCAAAAAAGAATATCTGATGTTTTATTTTTCATCACATTTCAGAATGTGAGAATGTATTTTTATACGAATGGTAGATATCAAAAAGCAATATAGAAAGAAATATTTATGTTGGCATATTCTTTTCCTTTCTTGATAAAATAACCAACCAATATTTCAAACATTTATTAGTTTACCTTTTATTAAATCACAGTAAACACGTTTCAAGAATTATCTATAATTCTTACCACTAGAAAAGTAGGCACTCAATAAATATTTGTTGAATGAATTGAATAACTGAATCTCTATTTTAATAGATAAAAAACTAGAGATAAGAAAGCTTAAATAAACTTCTTTTTATTACACAGCTAGCTGTTAGTAAAATGAGGGTGCTACTCAAGGTGTGCCTTGGTCCTTAACACATATTTATTTTTATTTTTATAAGTTTTAAATTTTTTATTTTTGTGGGTACATAGTAGGTGTATGTATTTATGGGGTACATGAGATTTTGATCCGGGCATGCAGTGTGAAATAACCACATCATGGAGAATGGGATATCCATCACCTCAAGCATTTATCCTTTGTGTTACAAACTACCCAACTGTACTCCTCTAGTTATTTTTAAATGTATAATTAAGTTATTATTGAATATTGACTATGGTCACTCTGTTGTGCTATCAAATACTAGGTCTTATTCATTCTTTCTATTTGTTGTGCCCATTAACTATTCCCACCTTCTCCTACCCTGCCCCACCACCTACCCTTCCCAGCCTCTAGGAATCATTCTTCTACTCTGTATGTCCATGAGTTCAATTGTTTTGATTTTTAGATCCCACAAATAACTGAGAACATGAGATATTTGTCTTTCTGCTTAGCACATGTTTCAGTAGCATGCATTCCAGTCTCTCTGCCTCCTCTTGCTGGTTATCCTTATCCCTGTTTCCCACTCTATTTATCATCTCTCTTTCTCCCCTGTCCTATTACTTCTTCCTTTAACTTAATTAGAAATGACACATATATGAGATACTGAGTATCTTCACTATACTAGAATACTATTATGTTACTTGTTCTAAATTAAAAAGTAGATTAAGCACCTTATATTTCTCTTTTTAAAAAGGAATCTAGATTTTGACTTTTTAGTACCACATGATTTTGAATTAAAATTTACTGGGATTAGAGAACTATGCATTTTAAGAAAAACTGTATATGCATTTTTCTTTACAATGAAGATGGAATAACCAGACAAAAACGAATGGGATTTCTATAACTAAAATCTAGGGTGCATTTCTGATACATTTCTAAATGTAAGGCAGTGTGGTGGCAGCATGGCATCCTAGTAATTTTAATACACCTGAAGTATCTATTTGTTTTCCAGCTGACAGCTACATCATAAGAATAAGTAAATATTTCCGGGAACTCCAACAAGATTTTGACAAAGCTACTTTAATAAATACTTCTGGTCTGATACCTAAGGAGGCTGGCTCAGTAGAAAATTTTGAATTTAAACCAGAACATTCTAAAATAGAGAATGGCACCACATTCTATATTGCAATTCAAGCCACCCGTGAAGCCAGTCTCACCTCAGAGGTTTCAAACATTGCACAAGCAACTAAATTTATTCCTCCTTCCCTCCCCAGCCTTCCCCGCGGGCGGACGCGGCAGCGCCTCTGCCTCGCTTTTTCTTATTTTTTTCCCCCTTTCCCCTTTCTTTTTTTTTTTTTTTTCCCCTCCCCCCCTTTCACCATTTCCCCTCTGAGGCGCTTTCCCCGGGCAGGGGCAGAGCCGGTCTCACCCCCCGCCTCTCCCCGGCCCCCGCCGCCCTATGGCGAGAGGGAGCCCCCTCCCCACCCGGGCTCGAGCGGCCGCGGCCTCAGGCCGGGGGTCATCATGGAACTAATTCGCTGACGAACCCAGAGGCCGCAGCCGTGCGTCCCGCTCGAGCGCTAGCGCCCGCGTCCCCCGGCTCGCTTCCGCCTCTTCTCCCTCCTCAGTCGGCTCCGTCGTCCCGCGCGCACCGCCGCCGCGCGTCGAGGAGAATGAGGTGGTAACGGGCCCCCGGATGACCCCACGTCACCATTGTGAGGCCTACAGCTCTGCCGGGGAGGAGGAGGAGGAGGAAGAGGAGGAGAAGGTGAGGGGCGGGGGCGGGGGGCTTGACGCGTCTCCGCGGCCGGCGCCGACGCGCTGGGGCCCCGCCGCTCCCCCCGCGCCACCCGAGTGGAAGCACCCGTGGCTGCGCTCTGCTTGCTGGGGACCCGCCCTCCCGCATCTCCCCCGGAACCTGGGGAACCCGGGGCCGCCCTCTTAGTCCTCCCGACCCAAACCGCCCCTGCACCTGCCCAGTTGAAAACGGCCCTACTGTGTTCCCTTTAAGGCCAGTTTTTGTGTTAGCGAGTAACTTTTTTTTTTTTTTTTTTTTTGTGGCAGCAGCAAATTACCTACTCTGTAGAGGCTCAGGGAGCCTGTGTTTATACACAAAGAAGGGGACACACCCCCACCTTCAGGTTGAACGGTCCTGCGGGGACTCCGGGAAGATGCCTAACTTTGCAAAGCGGAGTAGCTACATCAAGCTGGGTAAAAGGCAGATCCAAAGGATATCATGAAGTTTCCAGGGCCTTTGGAAAACCAGAGATTGTCTTTCCTGTTGGAAAAGGCAATCTCCAGGGAAGCACAGATGTGGAAGGTGAATGTGCGGAAAATACCTTCAAATCAGAATGTTTCTCCATCCCAGAGAGATGAAGTAATTCAATGGCTGGCCAAACTCAAGTACCAATTCAACCTTTACCCAGAAACATTTGCTCTGGCTAGCAGTCTTTTGGACAGGTTTTTAGCTACTGTAAAGGCTCATCCAAAATACTTGAGTTGTATTGCCATCAGCTGTTTTTTCCTAGCTGCCAAGACTGTTGAGGAAGATGAGAGAATTCCAGTACTGAAAGTATTGGCAAGAGACAGTTTCTGTGGATGTTCCTCATCTGAAATTTTGAGAATGGAGAGAATTATTCTGGATAAGTTGAATTGGGATCTTCACACAGCCACACCATTGGATTTTCTTCATATTTTCCATGCCATTGCAGTGTCAACTAGGCCTCAGTTACTTTTCAGTTTGCCCAAATTGAGCCCATCTCAACATTTGGCAGTCCTTACCAAGCAACTACTTCACTGTATGGCCTGCAACCAACTTCTGCAATTCAGAGGATCCATGCTTGCTCTAGCCATGGTTAGTCTGGAAATGGAGAAACTCATTCCTGATTGGCTTTCTCTTACAATTGAACTACTTCAGAAAGCACAGGCCCAGACTTCTCCAAGGACAACAGCAAGCCAGAAGTGCCAGTCAGAGGTACAGCAGCCTTTTACCATCATCTCCCAGCTGCCAATGGGTGCATGCAGATCTCTGCTAAACGCAAAGTTGAGGAAATGGAAGTGGATGACTTCTATGATGGAATCAAACGGCTCTATAATGAAGATAATGTTTCAGAAAATGTGGGTTCTGTGTGTGGCACTGATATATCAAGACAGGAGGGACATGCTTCTCCTTGTCCACCTTTGCAGCCTGTTTCTGTCATGTAGTTTCAACAAGAGTTACGTTTGAGTGTAAACTAAGACACTCTGGGAATGAGAACGTGGGAAATGAGGAAAGGCTGTAGAAGGAAATATACCTTAACAGGCTGATTTGGAGTAAGCCAGAAAAAAAAAAAAAAAACAAAAAACAAAAAAACCTCTCATTATTTGTGTGGCTAATTATAATTCAACATTATTTAAGCACATAAAGACCAAAAAAAAAAAAAAAATTCCAAAAGATCCACACGTTTTTTTAAACTTAAAAAATCACTTAGTAGTATGTCAGTTGCACTTTTTTTCTGCCATAATGTAACGTAGCTTGCCCCGTCAAAAATTCAGTTAAAATTCATAGCCAGCAAACCTGTTCCCCCTCAGCATCCTGATTTAATCTTCCCATTGCTTTTGCTTGCTTCTCCATCTAATAGTTAGTGACCTTTATGCATGGTGATCTGTATTCTGATTTTCACTGAATAGGAAACCCCAAAATTATTTTTTAGCAATTGAATGAACAAATTATTTTGGTGTGACAGCCATGATTCAAGTTCCAATTAGTTTGAAAAGGGTACTTTGGAATTGTCCCATATTAATAAGAGAGAGCAACAGAAAAAGATCACATATTACCAAACTGACTCATTTCAAATTTTAATTTAAAATTATGGTTTTCATTTTTGTTTACCTTAAAGTGATGCTTAAAAGTTGCATGTAATTCAAACACTTAGATTTGTTGAAAGCATTTTTGATATTTGTATAAAAGATTTGCGATAAAGTTAATACATCCTGGTGCTCACCAAAGAAACATGTATGTAACAACTGAAATTAGATTTTTGTAACTGATTAGTTTTCACTCATTTATAATCAGTATGAGAGACTGTCTAGATGTTGGGGCAGCGCTGTGATTTGAGTCTGTAACATGTCATAACTAAATTAGGTACCCTGGTTTTATGTTAAGCTGTTAGAACTTACTCCCCCTACCTCCCCAGCCTACCTATATCTCTTAATGACTTCTGGATCCTGAGCTCCCTTTGCAGTCTGAAAAAGGTATTGCAGTCAGAACTGTGTACTGATGATAAAAGCCTCTGGTAGCAATAAAAAGTTGTCCTTAAAAAAAATAAAAAATAAAATAAAATAAAATAAATTTATTCCTCCACCAAATTCCAGCAGTCCTGAACTGGGTACCAATATTTCTGCAATCAGTTTGGTAATTTTTGGATTAGCTGTGATTTCATATATATTTTTAACTAGAAATTATATTACAACTCAAATTCAATGTTATGCAAACTTAGTAAACATTTATTGAGAATTTACTATACTTATTGTCTATTATAAAGCGCTCATTATAATATAAAAGTGAATGTATAAAAGTTCTAAGTTTCCTAATTATTTGATTGACACTACCGAGTTGTTAAATGTTAATCAAAATGAGTATACCATTTCCTGTCTTTGAATAATCCATTCATTAATTTTTAATATGAAAAGATATGTATTTATACTTGTAAGCATTTTAAGAAACACTTTTAGGGTGTGCTACAAATTCATTTGGTATATTAACATCAAAATATATCTAAGCCATTTGAAAAATATTTATATATACATAATAGCAAATGATTTTATAGATTTATTTGTATTGCATTTTTTATTATGAATACTTTATGTTTACATAAACTGTAATCAAAAAGGACTAGTAGTAGTAAGGAAGTCAAATTTGTTTTTTAATCACTGATTATACGTAGTGTATTTGTTTTTTATCATTGATTAAAAGGGTTTTTAGCCGTAGGCATGAAATGACTAGCAAAAGGCATTTTCTACGTGAACTGTGGAACATCATAATAAAGTTATTTCTATTCTAATGCCATCATTAAGTCCTAAGACTATTACCAAGATGCTTGATTGGGACAGGGATTTTTCTTTTTCCTATTGCTGTATCCTCAGCATTTAGAATAATAATTGACACACAGCAGATATTCAACAAATATTTGTTAAATAACTTAAAGGATACTTTCCTAAATTCAAAAAAATCCAAATTTGACCACATTACATTAATAAAATACCACAAACTATCATGTGCACACGGTATTGTGAGGACTTCACATAATGAAAAATAACTCCCTTAATAACATTGATCAGAACCAACACATAAAATTTCAAAAAATTAACTATCAATAGAATTTATAAACTGTCTAATAAAAGGTAAATTGAGCTATTATTATAGCAATGGGGTGATTTTTCTTAGAGTGAGAGAGAAAGACATATTGGAAGAAAAGTCTTTGTTTACAGGCAAGAAGATTATTCTAACTCTTTAAATATCTGAAAGGAGGAAGCTGTATATATCTGGAAGGGTCAAGAAAAAAATTATACATCATTAGCAAACCAAATCCAGAAAAATATATGAAAAACAATGATATATCATGACCAAATTTAATCTATTTCAGAAATCCAAATATGATTTAATATTAGAAAATTAAAGTAATTTACTACATTAATAGTTTTTGTTTAGTCATATGATTATCTTAATACATACAGAAAAGTAAAATTCAACCATCATTCTTCAGTCAAAATGAAACCTATGAAAAATATTAACCTGATATTTTAAAGTCAAAACACACATCTTCTAAAAATAAATAAAGAGGGCATTGAATCTTCAAGTAGAGATGAAAAATTATACATCAGAGGGTGAGAATTCTAAATTCCTAGGAAAATAAATCACTTAAGAGTCTACAAATAATAAAAAAAAATTATCGATTATGAAAGCCTCAAAGAGTCAGAAGATAGTTAATTTATTCTTAATACATGGCCATTATACTGAATAATTTATAGAGCTTTAGAAGTTAATGAGGGAACACTCCTATGCAATAAAAAAAAATAGAAGATACAATAATTGGAAAGAAAGATACAAAATTTTAATTATTTACAGGTGAAATGGAAATGCAATAAAATCAACAAATAATTAAAATAATGAGAGACTTCTGAAATATTCCTAGATAAAAGATCAATTTACTAAAAATCAATACAACTAGTCTTAATATGTACAGAGCTTCGAAGTTGTCAGTCCCATCCTCAAAACCAGAAAAAAAAGCTGAACTGACAAATCAAGAATTTTTCTTAGATTTATCAGAAACTTGAAGTCATACTGCAACCTGCCACCAAAATATTAGAGACAGAAAAACACAGAATCACAGCTTGCCAGGAGCAGAAACACGTCAGTGAAGCTAATACCAGTAGGAACGCAAACCGTAAACGAAGACATACCAGAGGCTAAATGTGAATGAGGCTGAGAGTTAAAAACTCTCAGAAGTCTTAGAGATACCTCCACACTTCCCTGGGTTTTTCTTCCAAGAACCCCATGAAGTTTTCAGAGTGAAGATTAGAGAAAAATCCCCTCAGACTTTCAACATGAGAGAAGTAAAAGTAACCATTCTGAAATATGCCCAAAGTGTTCTGTTCTTAGCAAAAGCCTGTCTTAAGGGAAATTGTTTTACCAGAGCCTGACTAACTTAGGTTTTACAAGAGCCTAACCAACTTGGGGGAAGAGAAATACTCAACTCCAGTCTCACCTAGCCTTCCTTGTGGCAGAGGAAGATACTCAACTTCGGAGCCCTCTAACGTTCCTATCTGATCAAAGAGGAGGAAAACGTTGGACACTAAGAAGGGAACAACAGAGACTGGGGCCGACTTAAGATTTGAGGGAGGGAGAATGGTGAGGATCAGAAAACTACCCTATCAGGTACTATAGTATTATGTTTATTACCTACACAATGAAGCAATCTATACACCAAACCCCTGTGGCACACAATTTACCTGTATAACAAACCTGCACATGTATCCCTGAACCTAAAAGAAAAATTAAGAAAAAAAAAAAAATCTGAGAAGCATTTGTGAAAGCCACAGCCCAGGGAGACAAGTGCAATAAAAGACTGAGACCTAATCATATGACTACACAATGTTTCTCCTTCCCTGGCACCTTACCAACACATTTTGAGGCTGCCATGTATGAACAGGAGATTATAGATGAAAGCACCAGATGCCTCAGATTCAATTTGAGACCGAGTCTCTAGGGAAACCCAAAGACAACCAGGGAGTCAAAAACAAACTATTAAAGAAAATTTTTGACTCTGGTGCAGCTACAGCAAACAGTGAACATGGTCTAACCTCTAGCCAAGTAACGTAAAACATTATGCTAATGGACTATTTATGACAATTTTTCAGCCAGTGTGTTATGCCAGGCTTTAAATGAAAATTATAAGGCATAATAAAGGCATAAAACAGTCTGTTCTACTTGAAAAGCATCTTTAAAAAAGGAAGGAAAAAAAAAGCCTAAAGAGATCCTCCCCCCAAAAAAAATCAGAAGCAGATTCAGATATATGTCAGAAATTTTGGAATTAACAGAAGAATTTAAAATAGTTATGGTTAGGGAGGAGGCAGAGCTAAATAGTCAAACAGAAACCTCTAGCAATCATCTCCCTCACAGGAAGACCAAACTAAACAACTATCCACATGAAAAAGCCCCTTCATAAGAACAAAAAACTCAGATGAGCTATAATAGTACCTGGTTTTAACATCATATTAAGGAAAAGGGCACTAAAGAAAATAGGAAAGACATTCTTGACTCGCCTACACCTCCCCTCCCCAATTCCCTGGCACCAGCTTCAAGGCACAGAGAGAGAATCTGTGTGCTTAAGGGAGGCAGAGCACAGTGACTGTAGGACTTTGCATTGGAACTCAGTGCTGCCCTGTCACAGTGGAAAGCAACATGGGGCAGAACTCCACCAGAGCCTATGGAGGAAGCATTTATACCATTCCTAGCCAGGGGTAAATCTTCCATCTCAATGGCTGGGACCTGAGTACCAACAAGCCCTGCCACCATTGGCTAAAGGGCTCTGGGCTTCTAAACAAACTTGCAAGGCAGTCTAGGCAACAAAGACTGCAATTTCTGCGCAAGTACTGATGCCATGCTGGGCTCAAAGCCAGTGGACTTAGGGAATATGTGACCTAGTGAGACACTAGCTGGGGCAGCCAAGGGAGGGCTTGTGTTACCCCTTCCCCAACATCAGGCAGTGCAGCTCACAGATCCAGGAGAGACTCCTTACTTCTGCTGAGGAGAGAAGAGGGAAGAGTAAAGAGGACTTTGTCTTACAACTTAGATACCAACTCACCCATAGTAGGATAAGAAATGAAGCAGAGTCCTGAGGCCCCCGTTCCAGGCCCTGGGTCATAGAAACATGTCCAGGGAACATGGGCCGGAAGGAAACCTGCTGCCTTGAACAGGTAGACCCGATCCTGGCGAAATTCATCACCTGCTGACTAAAGAGTCTTTGAGCCCTGAATATTCACCAGTGGTGGCCAGGCAGTACTTGCTTCTTGGGTGAGACTCAAAGCTGTGCTGGCTTCATCTATGACCCAGCACATTCTCAGCTATAGTTGCTATGGGAAAAAACTCCTGCTTGAGGAAAGGAGACCGAAGAGTAAAGGAGACTTTTTCTTGCAGCTTGCATACTAGGTTGGCCACAGTAGGATAGAGCACCAAGTGGGCTCTTGGGGTTCTGGTTATAGGTGTTAGGTCCAGGATGACATTTCTAGACCTGTCCTGGGACAGAGGGGAGCCCACTGCCCTGAAAGGAGAGATGCGGGACTGGCAGCATTCACTGCAAGCTGACTAAAGAGGCCTTGGACCTTGAATAAATATCAGTGGTAGCAAGGCAGTATTCACTACAGGCCAGCGGCAATGGTAGCCATAAGAAGAAGCCCTTCTGCTTAAGGAAAAGGAAAAAAAGAATGGAGGGGCTTGTCTTATGGCCTTGGTGCCAGTTCAGCTGCAGCAAAAAAAGAGTACAAGGTAGATTCCTAAGGTTCTCAACTCCAGACCCTGGCTCCTGCGTGGCATCTCAAGACCTGACTGGGGCTGGAGAAACTCACCACCCTGAAGGGAAGGACAGAAATCTGGCTGGATGTGTTACCTGTTGATTATAGAGCCCTTGGCCCTTGAGTGAGCAACCCAAAGGTTATGAATCTTATCAGCAAATTATCAGCCAAATTTGGAGGTCAAGCATAATGATAGTCAATAGCCAAGCAGTGGTCACTGTGGGCCTTGAGCAACACTCAGTGCTGTGCTGGC